TCTCTCTCTCTCTCTCTCTCTCTCTCTCTCTCTCTCTCTCTCCCTCTCTCTCTCTCTCTCTCTCTCTCTCTCTCTCTCTCTCTCTCTCTCTCTCTCTCTCTCTCTCTCTCTCTCTCTCTCTCTCTCTCTCTCTCTGTCTATCTATCTATCTATGTTTCTCTATTTCTTTCTCTCTCTCTGTCTCTGTCACCTCCCTCTATCCCCCTCTCTCAATGCCTCGCCCGCGGAAAGCGAAGAAAGGCGAAAAGAAATCGCTGAAAAAGACCCAAAAACATAGGAAAGAAGGAGAGGAAAGGAGAAAGCAATAAAAGGAGAAGAACATCCATCAAGCGGCAAGGCCTCTTCACCCCCGAGGGCAGCGTGTGGTTAAGAACACCCTGTACATTATCTTCAAGACCAACAGCTTGAGTTGATGAATGGGAGGGCTGGCGGGGAACTGCAGGGATGGGGGCGGGGGCGGTAGGATTGGGCGATTGGAGGAGGCGGGGAAGGGAGAGGTAAGGAGGGAAAGTGAGTGAGTGAGGAGGAGAGAGAATGTGAGAGTGAGGAGGAGAGAGAATGTGAGAGTGAGGAGGCGAGAGAGGGAGAGAACGAGACGGAGACAGTGAGTGAGAGAGAGGAGAGAGAGAAAGCGAGAGCTAGAGAGAGAGAGAGAGGGGGGGGGGGAGAAAACGAGAGAGCTAGAGAAAGATACGGGTGGAGAAGGAGAAAGGGAGAGGACGAGGAGAGATAAAGAGATGGGGAGGAAAAATAGGGATGAATGAGAGATGTGAATGAGTAATGAAAGGATCGGGAGGCCGGTATAGAGGTAAGAGAGACGGATAGGTGGAGAAGGAATATAGGAAGAGAATAAAACAGTAAAATACAAAGAAGAGAAAAAAATGAACGACTGTGGAAAGAGGGGGGGAGGGGACTATAGTCTAACACATACGCAACAGAGAATGTTCTTTTTGGCCGAAATTTCTCTCCACTTTCAGAGTTTTCCTTCTTTTCGGAAAAGAATTATAACTTCAAAGTATCGCTTTCTTTATGAGATAAAACCCCACCCCCTCACCACAAAAAATGGATATTGATCTTTGTTTCTTGAGGAAAAAGCTTTTTT